TTTGTTTTTCCATATCATGTTAGCCTAGAACTTGATGGGAAAAATCATAGAGGAGCAACGGATCTAGTTTGATTTACAGAAGTACTTTGGAGTTGGTAGATAGGAGCTTTAATATCTGATAACTCAGGTCTCCTAACGCACTTCAATCTCCCTTTGAAAATGCAAATACATATACATACGTAGAATCTTACATTTGAAGGAATGTACTTACCTTCTAATAGTTGGATCATCCAACTAGAATTTAAAAGGCTATTGATCAAAGTAGGATTTAGTTAGAAAAAAATTACATAATTCTTTGTTATTGTTAATTTGGCTTCCAAGATTACACATACAGAGTTTCTGTAATCAGCTTCCTAAAGAGAGAGAGAAAACAGTAACATTTCTATGGGTGTGTCAAAGGTTTCTGGGAATTCAGTCAAGTTGTGAGTTTCATAAAACTTACATATTCATACATAAGATATGATAACTCATCCAGTGTGGACATGCTTAACACTACAGAAAGTATATTATTATTTACAGTGTTTATCAAAAGTTATTGTCACTCAACTAGACATTTATATAGAGAAGAGGATCTTAACATCTCCCTATGAATCATGTCAGATAAAAATCTACAGTCAGCTTTCTTTTTTCATCAAAAACCTTGCTATAAATGAGTATCAACATAAACTCTAGAATTATAAGATTCACTTAACCTTGTTAATATGACAGTCACTGAAACAAAACAGAGTAGGAGGCAGAAGACAGCTTGCAATTGTCAGTTACTCCATGGATTTTGTGACAGCAATATGTCATTTAAAGCCACACTGGGAGGGAAGGTGAAGAGAGTGCCCAGAACCTGTTGTTCTAGTTGGCTTCAGACAATGTTCTGAATGCTTCAGTGTGGATCAGTTCCCTGATCTCTTCCATCACCCACCTAAATTCCTGGCACACTGAGGTGAAGTTTGCAGCTTAACGGTTGAGCTGACAGGATGAGAAAAGCTCTAAGATGTTCCCCTGTCAGATACTGCAACTACCACTAGTTGCTAATGGGAGACCCACAACCCCTTCTAGGTTTCCTAGGAAGTTAGCCCTGTGTTATGGAGTGCAGTGTATTTTTTTAAGTAATTTAAAATCTTAAGAAGGAAGTCAGAATGGCTGGAAAAGTAATTAATTGGCAAACCCACTACTTTTCTTCAAAAATTATGTCACCTTCTTTGAGGTCAGACTTTGTAACTGCAGGTTATGGCTTTTCATTGTTTCTGTGCACTCGTTACTTCGACAAAGAAAATCACCATAAATGTAGTGAAACAATAAGAAAGGTGTATCTGATAGAATAAGCATGTTCTTAGTCTGCAGGCAAATTGCTCTCTTCAGATTTTTTTTAATTCATTTTCCTTAGCAGGTAAACATTGTGAAAATGGTTCCACTTCCCTAGTTCCAATATTGCATGCTTTACTGGCATCATGTGCTCCTGAGGCAGGCAGAGAAACCTATCTTACTAAAAAGAAATTACATCTTGGAGTAACATGAAAACCCTGGAATAGTCCAAATGTGACAAATTTATTTAGGGAATCAACTGGGTTACTATATGCCAGTGTATTGGGTCTGACCAAGCTGGAGTTCATTTCCCCATAGCAGCCCTCACAGTGCTGTGCTTTGCACTGGTAGCTAGAAGGGTGTTTTGGCTACTGCTCAACACAGCATCAGCACTGTAACATTCCTCCCTCAATCGAGGGCAAGATCCTGGGAGGGGATACAAGCAGGCCACCCAAACTGACCAAAGGGATATTCCATATCATATGACATCAGTTCAGATATCAAAGCTGAGGCAAGGAGCAGGGAGGCAGGCATTCGCTGTCTCCAGTGGCTGCCTGCTGAGGAACTGTCACGTGTGCTGAAGCCCTGCTTCACACAGGCCAACCATCCCTGCTAATGGGAAGTAGAGAATAAACGGTGCTATCTTTTGCTTGGCTTTTGCACAGGCAAACGTTTGCTTTGCTTCTGCTCTAATGAAGTGCCTTATCCCAACCCATGAGTTGTTTTCCACCTTACTCTCTCCCCTCTCTGGCTGGGAAGGGGAGTGATAGAGCGGCTGGGTGGACACCTGGCATCCAGCCAAGGTCAACCCACCGCAGCCAGGTAGCATTGACAGTCATCCTGGGCCAAATAATACAAAAGCTGATACAGGACTTTAATGATAAAGAATTCACATCTGTCCATATGGTTTTATGAAAAGTAAATTTTGTTATATGGGGGGGGGGGGCAGTAATTGAAAAAGACAGTTGATAAATATGATAATTTAGATGTGCCTAGAATTATTTCAGTGCTTGGCTCTTAATTGTCACCTTAAGTATCACATTGCTCTCATCAAAACATGAACATTATGCAGTATCACCAATACAAAGTTTAGGAACTGACCAAAAAGCTCAAATAGTTTCCATTAGGAAGTCATTGTGGAATAGCAGTGTTATTGGAGAAGTTAGTGACACTTGGTCTTAAATTAAAGTTTTTATTCAGTGTGCAAAATATTTGGATCATAGCTACAGAATTCAGATGAGCTTAGCTTGTTTTCAACATCTGTCAATGTTCTAAAATACATACTACGATGTGGGTGTTGTGTAAATGTGAGTGCATCTTTTGGCTGAGGAGAAAGTCTGCAAACAAGGGACAGTAATTACTGACTCTGTATCATCTATACCTGTTAAAAGCAAATACAAAAACATATTGATTTTTGGTATGGGAAATAATACCTTACAAGATGTTTTCAGGAACTTTAAACTTAGTTTTTTGTGTAATATTTTTCAGATAAAGTAGTGCAGATTAAGAGATAAATCAAAGAGGGTTGTAGTACTACTTAATATGGGAAGCATTTGGTTATCCTCTCTCTATAATCTTTGAATTTCTGTTTGGGTAATGCCATGGTTGGTCTCATTTTTCGGATGTAAATTGTTCCTATAATATCACAGAATCAAAGAATCACAGAATATGGTGAGTTGGAAGGGACTCACAAGGATCATTGAGTCCAATTCCTGCAGAGGACCCCTCCCAAAAGTCACACCATGTGCATGAGAGTATCATCCAAATGCTTCTTGAACTCTGTCAGGTTTGGTGTTGCCTGTCCCCTGGGAAGCCTGTTCCGGTGCCCAACCACCCCAGCCTAAACCTCCCTAACACAGCTTCAGGCCATTCCCTTGGGTCCTGTCACTGGTCACCACAGAGAAGAAATCAGTGCCTGCCTCTCCTCTTCCCCTCACAAGGAAGTTGTAGACTGCAATGAGGTCTCCCCTCAGTCTCCTCCAGGCTGAACAGACCGAGTGAGCTCAGCCACTCCTCAAATGGCTTTCCCTCAAGGTCCTTCACCATCTTCGTTGCCCTCCTTTGGAGGCTCTCTAACAGCTTAATATCTTTCTTATATTGTGGTGCCCAAAACTGCACACAATATTCAAGGTGAGGCCGCACCAGTGCAGAGCAGAGCAGAACAATCCCCTCCCTCAACCGGCTGACGATGCTTTGCCTGATGACCTCAGAACACGGTTGGCCCTCCTGGCTGCCAGGGCACTGCTGACTCATGTTCAACTTGCTGTTAACCAGGACCCCCAGGTCCCTTTCCATGGCACTGCTTTCCAGCATCTCATTCCCCAGCCTGTACAAACTTCCAGGGTTGCCCCATCCCAGGTGCAGAATCCGGCACTTTCCCTTGTTGAACTTCAAATGGTTGGTGATTGCCCAGTCCTCTGACTTGTTAGGGTCTCTCTGCAGGGCCTCCCTGCCTTTGAAGGAGTCAACAGCTCCTCCCAGTTTTGTGTCATCTGCAGACTTGCTTAGTATCCCCTCCAGTCCTGTGTCAAAGTAATTTATGAACATGTTGAAGAGCACAGGGCTGAAGATAGAGTCCTGTGGAACCCCACTAGTGACAGGTCACCAGTCTGATGTTACTCCATTCTGTTACCCTCTGTGCTTGGCCCGCGAGCCAATTGCTCACCCACCACATGATTTGTTTATCCAGCTGTGTGCTGTCCAGAAGGATTCCTGTGAGAGACAGTATTGAAAGCTTTACTGAAATCCAAAAAGATTACATCAACTGGCTTCCTCTGATCAACTAGGTAGATTACTGTGTCATGGAAGGAAATCAGGTTCAGTAGATAGGACTTTCCTCTCATGAAGCCGTGCTGGCTGTGACGAATGACAAAATTGTCTCTCAGGTGTTTTTCAACACCTCCCAGAATAATCTTCTCCATAACTTTACCAGGCATTGAAGTGAGACTGACAGGCCTGTAGTTTCCAGGGTACTCCGTGCCCTTCTTGAAAATTGGGACAATGTTTGCAAGCTTCCAATCAGCTGGGACCTCTCTAGATTTCCAAGACTGCTCAAAAATCATTGAGAGAGGTTTTGGGAGATCAGCCAGTTCTTCAAGGATTCTGGGATGAATCTCGTCAGGCCCTACAGATTTGTACGGATCCAGCTGGAGCAGCAGATCCCACACCATTTCAGGGTCAACTGGAGTTGATCATTCTTGCAGTCATGGTCCTCCAACTCAAGGCACTGAGACCTCCTTGGTCCATTATCTGTGTTGAAGACAGAGGCAAAGAAAGCGTTAAACACCTCTGCCTTGTCTCTGTCCCTGTTTGTGAGGTGACCATCCTCATCCTGTAATGGGACAATGCTATTTCTATACTGCCTATTGCCATTAATGTATTTGAAAAAACTCTTTGTATTGTCCCCCACATTTCTGGCCAGCTTTAATTCCAGTTGAGCTTTGGCCACACAAATTTTCTCCCTGTGGCAAGCAGCATCTTTGAATTATTACCATGTCACTTGACCTTACTTCCACTGGGCATACACCTTCCTTTTTTGCCTTATCTCCAAGAGAAGATTCCTGTTCAGCCAAGCCGACCTTCTGCCTCACCTGCTTCACTTCCAGCATTTGGGAATTGCCTGCTCCTGTGCCCTTAGGAGGTGATGTTGAAAAAGTGACCAGCACTGATGGACCCCAGCACCTGCAAAAACATTTTCCCAGGGGACCTTACTCACTAATTCCCTGAGCAGCCTGAAGCCTGCTCTCCTCATGTCCAGCATTGAGGTTTTGCTGGCACTTTTCCTCCTGCCAACACAGATTTAAAACTTGATCCTTTTGTGGTGCTGTGGCCAAGAGGGCCACCAATCTCTACTTTGCTCATGAGATCCACTCTGTTGACAAGCAGCAGATCAAGGAGGACATCGTTACAAGTTGACTCCCTTAGGGCCTGTTCCATAAAGTTGTCATCCAGATTTTTTAGGAATCTTCTGGCTGGCTTGAACCAACTGCATGATGCTGCCAGTTAATTTCTGTCAAGTTAAGTCCCCCGTAAAGACAAGGGCAGTTGACTTGGAAGTGTCCCTTAGTTCCTCAAAGAATAATTCATTGGCATCATCATCCTGTCCAGGAGGTCTATAGCAGACTCCCACACTGACATCCACATTATTTGTTTGCCTCTTGATTCTTACCCAGGGGCTCTCAACAGTGCCATTGCCAACTGTGAGCTACATACATTCTAACCCTTCTATTACATACAGTGCCACTCCTCTGCCTCTTCTGCCCTACCTATCTCTCCTGAAGAGCCTGTAACCATCCAACAGGGCATTCCAGTCATAGGTCTCATCCCACCAGGTTTCACTTATGCCAATGATCTGAAATCTCTGGGACTGGGCCAAAGCTTTGAGATCCTATTGTTTGTTCCTCATGCTGCATGCATTGGTGTAGAAACATTTCAGGAGTGGTACATTGTAGTCAACATCTCTAGAGGCAGACTCAGGGATCCCATGAGTGCTGTTTCTTCAAGTTCTGGCACACCATCCCATTGCTCATCACTGGTGAGCCTGGTTTTAACCCCTTCAGGGAGAAAGAAATAATGCAGAACTGTGAATGTATGTAAAAACAATTAATCACAGCTAAGACAAGGGCAGGAATATGGAAAAGCCTATACTGAATGAACAGAAAATATGAATGTAATGAGAAACCAGCTGTAAGATACTAATAAGGAGGTGTTACAGGATTTAAAAAAGAGCAGAGTCCTGTGACTAAAAAAAGCAAATACTGCAAAAGTCACTAACAGGCAACTGAGAATTAAAATCTTTAATAGTTGTAGTTTGTGTTGTAGAGACAGGGGAAAAAAAAGTAATTTGGTTTCTAGCAATAGATTTAAGTTCTTAGTGAAACATACAGAAAACCAGTAGAATAGAAACAAACTAGATGTGAATTCTACCACATTATATTTTGAAAGAAGACTAATAGAAGAGCCATATTCTTTTTTGACACAAGTCCTCACCTAGTCATTATCTAGAAAACTGCAGTCTCTCGTGTCCAAGTGTTTGATAATGTCTTGGGATCAGGAGCCGAGTTAATAATTTTGAGGAACTGGTTTACAAAGGAAGGCTCCAAATGTCCTGAAGGGGGGAAAAATGAATCATGGAATCAATCAGGTTGGAAAAGACCTCTGGTCAAACACCACCATGTCAAGCAGATCATGGCACTAAGTGCCACGTCCAGTTTTTCCTTAAACACCTCTAGGGACAGTGACTCCACCACCTCCCTAGGCATTAGATTCTAATGTATAATCACCCTTTCTATGAAGAAATTCTTCCTAATATTCACCTAAATCTCCCCTGGCACAGCTGAAGACTATGTCCTCTTGCTAGGTGCCTGGGAAAAGAGGCCAACACCCACCCAGCTACAACCTCCCTTCAGGTAGTTGCAGAGAGTGATGAGGTCCCCCCTGAGCCTTCTCTTCTCCAGGCTAAACAACCCCAGATCCCTCACCCACTCCTCATAAGACAAGGAAATGTCCGTTTCTTTGAAATTCTACTGTAACTCTGGCTTTCTGTAATCTTGCCTCCAAAAAATAAGACATTCAAGCCCACCAGATATTTGTATCTGCCATAACAAACCGTGGCAGAGCTGGTCAGGAGCACCCCATTTGGCAAAGAATCTCTCATTGTGTAGTACATGGTAACTCCTAATTATATAGTTCAATCATTTGTCAAATGTTCTTAGGTCATGGTGTGGTTTAGTTACTTAGGATTGGAGCAGGGAAGTAAGGCCCCTAGAAATAAACAGCCATAGGAATCTAATGATGACCATACTGTCAAAGGGAAATAAGGTTTCAGACTGGCTGAACAAGTTTTACATCCTACTTAATTATCTGTTCAGTAGCTCCAGGGCTTGGCTCTCAGGTGGAACAGTGAGTGTTCTGACCTGGAATTTCCTATGCTTCAGCCAGCAGTCAGCCAAGAGCCCATCCATGCACTGGTGTGAGGAGACAAACAAGCTCATCCATTGTGCCCTGGGAGCAGGTTCCAGAAAGCAGCTGCTATTTGTGAAATACTCAATACAACTTGTAGAAATGCTGCCAAAATACCAGTACCAACTATGAAATTGCAACATCTATGCATCCTTAGCTATGGACGTTCCTGCTAGCACATTACCCAGGACATAGGTACATACAGTAGTACAGCTCTGCTTTATTGGGAATGCATATTCACATGTGGAGGTGATCTGGGTAGCCATTTGACTACAAAGGAAAGCATTTGGCTCTTTGTGATCAGATTACCACTACAGCTGTCTTCCAAGTTCCCTGAGAAGTTCATTCTGCTTATCTGTTTTGATGCAACCTGAGTAACCTAATTTATTTCACACTGCTGGTTATAAATACAGCCACATATGCAGCTCTACAAATATTTATATCAAGGGCAAATTTGTCTAAATGAAATAAGAGGTCTGTAATCTTCATAAAGCAACAAAGATGAGTACAACACATAAGGTAAATCAAGGCTTCTACACCAAACAGTTCTTCATCTGGATCTCTTCCATAGGAAATTTGTAATCCTCATGGTTTATAGAACTGCCTGTAAAAGAATGAAGGAGTCACACTTCAGTTATCTTTGCAGGCAGTTGTGCTGGAGGACCTCAGAAGTACTTGGTCATAGGCTGGGCTGAGTTACCTACAAATTACGTTGGTCATGCCAGCGGTGTAGCTGCGGCAGTGTGAGCACACCAACATAGTGTGCTGGCCTCCATGCTACTTACGTGAGTATAGTGAGTGTAGCTATTTCTACAATTATTTTCTGTGGTTTATAGATATGACTGCAGTGCCTGCTACATAAAGGCCACCCCTAACACAAAGGAACTAACATCCATTCAGCTGATGGAAACTCTCCTGTAGTTTCTTCTTCTCCTGAAGAAACTCTTCAGCAGCCTCAGGGCTCCTCTCTGGTGTTGCTTTGTGATTAGTAGATTGTCTGTAGGTTACTAGGTGTCTGGAAGTACCTCCATAATTTTCATACAAGCTGAAGAAGAGATAAAAGGGAAATTATTAAGATATAGTGAGGGTTTTGCCAAACAGATTAGAGAGCAGCAAAATAAACAGATTGCAGCACAATGCACATTTCTGACATTCTAGACAGGCATTTTTAAGTTAGACATCCTGCAGTCAGCATGAGATACTCAGGAAAAAACTTATCCCTAGAGCACAGCTGAATCTACTGTCCACTGGAAGAGCTCTGGATCAAAGAACAGTGCCTAGAATCAAAATTATTTTGCTTCAGCACATCTATGTCTTTATCGCTAAACCACAATTCCTAAAAACAGACGTAAAGATTGCAGTAAATTATGATCAGAAGTGCAACACCTCGGAGGCTGACTATGACCTCATGCTGTGCTAATTGTTAAGGTGGCAGAGATGGTCAGCATGGGGGTTTTCTATGCAAACAACTGTCAAGTAACATCTCCATCACTGTTCCTCTATTTTCTACACTTCACAGAAAAAAAAAATGATCATGAATGGGCTGCATTACACACCCTGCAGGAAAAAAACACAGGTCCTGCCTGAACAGACATTAATTCTGTTATTTGTGTAAAGGAATGAAAGACGAATTCATTTTAAAGCACAGAGTAAGGTTTGTTTCCCAGGCCAGTCACATACCTCCTGTGTGAGCTGGAAAGTATAAAGGGCTTGGGAGCTGCTAATAAAATTTTGTGATTATCATGTCCCTGTTGGTCTGTTGTTGCACTGCTAGCTGTAAGACAGCAATAAATTAATTCAAGAGGTGGACAGCAGTTCTTTCTTACAAAAGGGTGTTACCAGGTTCATCTGATTCAATTACCAGTACTTGAAAGGGCACACAAAAAACCCCCACTGCTCTGAGAATCTGTTTGGACAGGATTCAAGCAGAAAAAATTGGAAAAACAGCTTTACTGCCTGGTTACACAAGTCATGGAAGCATCTGAGCCTCTGGTTGAGAGATCTGTGTGTAGGCCCTGAAGTTATTGTACTGCAACTCAATAGGGAATCGCTGTTGAGTATCTAATAGATGTCATAGGTCTGCCATTTTCACAGAATCACAGAATCAGCTGGATTGGAAAAGACCTCCAAGATCATCAAGTCCAACCCTTGATCCAACCCCGCCATGGTTCCCAGACCAACGCTGCTTAATATTTTTGTCAGTGACCTCAAAGAAAATGTACCATAATTACTGATAGATAGCAGCTGGGATTGCTTTTTAGCTGACCAAGTGAAATAAAATGTGTATTAACTGTAAATATACAAATAAAATGGGTACTAACATGTAAATGCATGCTCACACCTATGCAGAAAGGAACAGAAGCTAAATTCATGAGGAGTTTATACTGGAAAACAAAGTACTTTTCAATCTGCTGGTTGATCTAAATTTCTTGCACAGCCACATCCTAAAGGAACAAGGCCTTCACTTCTATTCCATAAAAAAAAAAAGAGAATAGGTACTAGAGGGAAATTTATTACTTGTGCTTTTAACCCATTTGTGTCACAACAGAAATACTCTCATGTTCCACTTCTTGGGTCTGTAATTTAAGAAGGACCTACTGAAATGTTCATATAGTAAAGGGCTTCTTTGTGCTTACACAGACCAATACAATGCATAGTTTTTATAAAAGATTATAGGAAGTATTTCATATTAACCTGTCTCTCACTGTCTTTTAATGTGAAATTTAACTTTGCCTTTTGATATCAGTATCCATGTTCAATCTGAGACAAAATTTTCTCTATCGTGACTCTTAACTCTGCAGTACAAAAAAAAAATCACCAGAGATGTCTGCAAACACCTTTACTTTCCCACACAATTGGTTTCTCATATTGTGAAGTTTGTTTAGTACTGTCACTATTTACAGATTCATATCAATTACAAAAGTATACAGGAGTGTTACTAAAGTGAACTCAGAGGAAAAGCCACAACTCTTCCCATCAGGATGAAACCAATTCATTGCCACAGTGAATGAAATCTGATGGTTTTGCCTCTGTGTAACATGATGACTCACATACAAAACCTGCATCTGCATACATCTACCAGGATGGACTATAACTAGGACTAAACATCCGAAATTAATACAGCCAAGTGCTATCCCATGTTTAATCCAATTAAAAGGACTGATGCACATCATTTGGAATGAATATGAGGTAATTTAATGAATCACAATAGGTCTCATGAGCATTTTTGTTGCTAATTAGGGCCATAAAGCTACAGGATATTATTTCAATCACCCACTGCCCCTCACAAAATAACATACAATTTAATAACAAAGCAAACCACAATGCAATAATTGCAGTGCAATACAAAATTAGCTTAACAGCTAAGAAATGCATCTGAGACTCAGGCATGTGTAGAATTCCCAATTAAGTCAGCTTAACAAGTACTCTTAACTAGTACTCTAACTAGTACTCCTAACTTACTAGTCAAAAATGTGCCCTCAGACACATCCACATACATTGTTCCACCTTCTTATTCAAAAGTGACTTGAATTGAAACTGAGATATTTAAAGTGTATCAAAAGACTGGCAAGAACTTCTGCTCAGCCTTAGGAGTGCATGCAACAGAATCTATTGCAATGAAATGCAACTGCAGAAGTCACATTCACAATCAAAACAGTGTCACTTAAAAGGATCCTGACCAGTTTAAACAGTTTAGCGGCACTGATTTAGCTTAACTAATAAATCTGCATTTACAAAAGGCATACATCAAAACAGTGAGAAAGAGGACTGTGTTGTTCAAGAGACTGACCTGAGATCCAGGCACGTGTATAGTTCCCAATTCTTGTACCCAGCAGATCTGAAAGAGTTTTCAATTCTGTAACCATGTGTAAGGTTCATTTCCAAACCCAGGAGCAATCTCGCAGTATTTGGCTGGCAATGCTGAGCAGACTGAGTGTCAAAGCTGGTAGTTGAAAAGATAGGTATGAGTGACGTAAATGATAAAAGGTATGCAAATAGGTAGACAAGTAGATTCAGGGAGTACCAATGTGCCCATGGCTCACTATAAATAGGTGGAAAAATCCAAATATCAAAAAGGAAGTAAATAGTTAAAGCTTACCTATGATGCATATGGATTTTTTGATTTTTAGCTTTTTGTAGATTTTAGAAGTAGCTGTATTATATCCCTTACCCTTAGCACAGTAGTTTACACATTTATCCAACACTGTTACCCCATTCCATATTACTCCCTCAAAATTCCATTAGCTTGTTTAGACTTCCCTCAAGGTAGGCCTTTATTCTTTTTAAGAACATCTGCACCCTGGCTTGAACGACAAGATACCACTCAGGCATAGTGACCTTCAAGCCCAGAACTTCGGAGGAACTCCAAGGACTAAACGTGCTGTGATGAAGAGGAAGATGTTGAAGAGGGGGTCCCAGAGCCCCCTGTCTCAATTTCCAGAGAGGTGTGCCAGGGGGAGGTGCTGGGGGGCAGACAAATCTGGGATTGGATGGAATAATATCCTAAATTGTGAAACCCCGTGGACATGAGGGGGGCATTGTGTATTCCTGTGGGCTTCAGGTCAGAAATTAAAGGACCTACCCTCCTTATCTTATCTTATACACTAAGTTGGCTTGAAGTCCTGTTTTCTGTGGTCTCTTAAGGCAACACCTAAGAAATACATGGGCATACTCAATAATTAATTAACTCATTCTCCTAGCTAATCATCTGTGTTTCTTATTAAGGTTATTTGGACTGGTCTGTGAATTGCCACAAGGACTGAAGCCCAGAACAGATACACTAAGACAGGAAAATCGTTAGTAAAATGCTCATTGGTTAAGCACATAAATAGTTCTACTGAAGACAACAGTCTTATTCAGTCATAGGTTTGCTTTTACTGAACAGAGGGATGAAATCCTAATTCCTTGTCTGAAGGCAAAGTTTGACCAACTTATTCAATTGTACCAGTACTACATGCAGTTTTAAAAACTCACACCCATTTATCCAGTTCTGTCAAGCTAACAGCCAGTAAAATGAAAATGTAAAAATAAAAATTTTAAAATAATAAATTACTTAGAGAACAATCCTGCACTTTTTACCTCACAAAGCATCCCTAAAGATTTATGAGTACAGGTAGAGTGTTCAGTGCTGTGCCAGTGGGAACCTGATATGATTTGCAATGGATCTCACAGCAAATGAACCCAACACAGAAGTAGGGATGCTCAAATTTATGAAAAGTTCTTTTCACTTTTTCAATACAAAAAAAAATCTTGGAACATTCACTGAATAAGAATGAGGAATTTCAGGAAAGTCTGAAGAAAAGCTGTTATTTAAAAATAGAAATTTTTAAAATAGTACCGTAGTAAAAATTTATTCTTCTTTGGATTCTTCATATTTTTTTTCAAGATTCCCAAGTTTGAAAACCACAGCATGACAAAACTCAAGGATGTTTTCTACCTCCCTGTGTTTATGAACAGGGAACAGAACCATGGTGCATTACAGGTAGGCAACCAACACAGTACATGATTTACAGCAAACAAAATGTGGGAAAATTATTATTGTAGAGACCAGAACCTTTGTGAAATACTAACTGTTACAATGACGAATGGTGTCCCCCAGAAGGAAGCTCCCAGGCAGCCATCAGGCCTAAGCTCCCTGCATTACTACAAGCAACAGATATTGAAGAGCCCATGCTCATTATTCAAGAGCTTGCTTTAGAAATGAGTCAAAAATTGCTGTTTGTAATGCTTTTAGATTTCAGAGAGACACTGCTGGTGACAAAGAAAGTACCTGGGACCCAACTGTTCCACATCCCCTTGGTCTTGCCCTGTGTTTATCTAAAATGTTCTCAATGAAGGATTCACCCTGGCTTTGCCCAGAGGAAAACACAGAGAGCTGCACACACACACACAGGCTGCAAAGGTCACAAAGCTTCACTCTCGCTGAAGAATCACAGAACGCGTCAGGTTGGAATGGACCACAGTGGGTAATCTGGTCCAACCTCCCTGCTCAAGCAGGGTCGTCCTAGAGCACATGGCACAGGATTGTGTCCAGACGATTCTTGAGTATCTCCAGCAAGGGAGACTCCACAACCTCTCTGGGCAATCTGTTCTAGTGCTCGCACTGGAAAGAAACCAAGAAACTTCAGGATTCAAAAGGAAAACATAACAGACTGTCTCGCTTTTTAGTTTTTTTTTTTAAATCAAATTCAGCGCAGACTTCCCTTCAGAGCCGGACTTGGGCAAAGGAGACCGACCCCTCCAGCCGCTTGGCGGGGTTGAATGCTGCTGAGGCGCAAGCAGCTCCGCCACCCCCTTCCCCAGTGACCCTCGGCCATGGACGCGATTTGTCCCATCGCCACGGCAGCTCCCCACACCGGCAGCTCCGCCTCGGCCCGGTCCCAGCGCCGCAGCTGCCCCTCCATGGGCCCAGTGACGCTGCGGAAACGGGCCGTGCTCCCCGCCCCGGGCCCTGCAGCCCAGGCCCGAGCGCCACCTCCTCCCGCTCACCCTCCCTGCCCGCAGCCGCCGCTCTCCCCGCCCCCGGCCGTGTGTGCGGAAGCTGCCGGCGCCCGGGATTGTGGGAGCGGGGGGGCCACGGCGCGGGGAGGGGACGCGGCCGGGGCCGGGCCGGAGGGTTCCGGTGCGGGGCGAAGACGTGTCGGCCGGGGCCGCGCAGCGACAGGCGCTGCTGCCCCTGGCCCTCTCGGAACAGCGCCCGGCCCGGGGCCGGCCCGGCGGCACCATGGCCGGGACCAGCAGCCCCGAAGCCGTGAAGAAGCTGCTGGAAAACATGCAGGGAGACCTGCGGGGCCTGAGCCTGGAGTGTCGGAAAAAATTCCCCCCCGTCAAGGAGGTGAGTGGCGCTGAACCGGGCCGAGCCGAGCCGGACCGGACTGGGCTGAGCCGGGAGACGGGCGCCTCTCCGGAGGGGCCTCCCTGGCCGCGGGGCCCGGCCCGAGCGGAGCTGCCGCCGTGCCCGTGTCCCGCTCGCCGGAACGGTGCCGCTCCCAGGAAGCTCCCACCGCCGCAGCCGGTGGCTGCTCCCGTACTCGGCAGCTCCCGGACTCGGCTGCGGCCGTCGCGCTCTCTGTGCTGGTGTTGTCAGTGCGCTGCCGCGGCGCGGGCCGTGGGCTGGGCCGTGCCCCGCGGGGAGCGGGGCTGGCGGACAGACCGTCTGTTGACAAGGGCGAAGCGGGGGCGGCACCGCTGCACCCCCGGCGGTCTCCAGGGTGAAGACAAAGTTCGGCTTGGCTGTCTCGGCACCACCGAGCGAGCGAAACTCGCCCGAGGCGGGCTCGGTACCGGGGCTTGGTCGCCCGGGCGGGCGGACGCCGAACAAGCGGGAGCTCGACAGGCCAAGGAGGACTGTGCTCAGCCCCGGCGCTGCGGCTGCGGGGGGGCCCTGGGGCCGCGCAGGTCTCCTCTCGGGTCTGTGCCGTGCCCCTGCGACGAGCGCACACGCTGCTGTTGCTCCCGGGTCGGCGCGCCTTATTCCTCACCATTGCACATCCGTGTCTGCCCGTGCGAACTGTGCGGATCGCTGGTGATCGCTGCGTGCCCCGTCGTTTTGGGGCTGTCGTTTGGGTTCCAAACGCTGTGGGTTGTATCAGTTCCAGCTGATACAACAGAGGAAGCTTGGGAGATACAGAAGTTTGGATTACTTTTTTTTTTCTTTCTACAAAATCCCATTAATAAACTCATGAGTGAGGTTGTATGTTTTATTTTTCAAACCTCCGTTTATACTGTGCAGCCAGGGACTTCAGTAATCTCGATGAGCCGGATTACTTTAATTGAAGCGCAGTCAGATTTTTTTCTCGCTAACTAAAGTATAAATTTTAACCGTATGTCTCTCTGTTATGTTTATACTCAGTTTAACATTTTCCTTAACGGTAGTTTTCTATGCAGTAGTGGGAGTAAAAACACTAATACATTAACTCAGATTAAACTGCAGACCCAGAAGCTCAGAAGAAAGAAATTGCATATGGAATGTGACTTGAGTTCCAATTCAGTAATAGCATATTTAGTGTTGTATGTAGTATTATACCCTTTAACAGATGACTTGAAGCTAATGACTGTTGTTGTTTTGAAAGGCATGAAGTGACACACTGTAATAGAGCATACTATGTATGACTGTAGATTGCAGAGGAATGCTGGTCTGTTTGAGAAATTCTGTGTGGTCACAGAAAAACAGGAGAAAGTTGTGATCAGTCCTGAGGAACTGTGTGTAGTCACATGTAAATAAGAAATAGTTGTGGTCAGTTGAACAGAAATCTGCCTGTGTGTTTTGGAGGGACATGGAGGTGCTGCTTCCACTTTCTTCTGTGTGTTACTGTGTCCCTTAAGTTGTTTAGTCCGTGAACAAGTTTCCTCACTGAGTTAATGTTTACTTTCTTTTAAGATCTGCAAAGAAGATTGGCAGTGTCACCCTTAAGCTAGTATTTTTAGTAATGCTTCATTACATTTGCCATGCTGACTGTTTAGTAACTACTGCATGTGCAGTTCTTGATACTTGTTCAGCACATTTATCATATTCTTGTGTTTGACTTTTGTGTTATTCCGTTTTATATCTTGATGGCAATTTGCTTAGCTTTCTTCATTAAAAACAAAGTTTTTTCACAGTTGTCTGGAAGTTGGATAGGTTTATGGAATAGTACTGGAAGATGTTAACAAAAGAGGTGGGACTTTCTGCTAAGTTGTGAGTTCCTACAGTAGGATGTATGATACAGTCATAGGAAATGATCTTACTTCCTCACTTCTGGAAGCCATTTTTTTGTTCTAGTTTTAAAGGAAATGGGTGTTCTTTTTTGTCAAATCTAAACTGCTAAACAGATATTTTAATTGCATGCATTTGATCTGATCATGATTAGATTTGGCTAGAGTGATCAGAGGAATTCTTCTTATTGATTTGGAACAGCACCGTTTTTTTAAACTATGTTTAAACATAGGCTTTTTAAAACAAATTCCTACTACTTACAATCTTACTTTTTTACTTGCAGTGTAACTAGACTCTCCTCATTGCTACCACGTGCGTTGTGATTTATGAGTTTATCTTGCAACTGATGTGTATGCTTTCACGTCACTTAATAAATTCAACATACTGTGATAAAGCTATTGAAAAACTCATAGTCCAAAATTAATAGTTATTAGATGTATCATAGTTGTTAGATTTGCTAGGTACTTTAAGAAGGTAAACTGCTTCTAATAATCTTTCCAGTGTGTGACATAGTTGAAAACTTTGCTCACAGTTATTTGTTATCATCAGCCACTTCTAAAATGATTTGTCTGTTCTGGTTCTTTTTTGTTTTGTTTTTATATTAATAGTGTCAAAATTCTACAAACTGATAGGTTTTCTGCTCATAAAAGTAATAATGTAGTTCTCAATTCTGCTTGTTGCTCAGATGATTAACTTGAGCAAAGCCTTTTTTAATCAATACTGTAGGATTTTAGACAGTTGTATGATCAAAAAAATAGAGATTTCATGTTATTAAAAGAATTTTAGTTTTCAAACCAAGTTTCAAACTAATTTAGTTTTTAAAACATCTTTCTAATGTATACGTAAGCAATATCTATTAGGTACAGAGAGACCAGAAAAATATTGAATGATTCTTTGAACAGACATGTAGATGACACAGCTAAAGAACTTTATGGGACTTTTTTCGGCGGGGGAGGGTGAGAGTGGGGCTTGGATGCAGCAGAGAAGGGGACAGCCTAATGTGAAATCTAGATCTCATTCTCAGTTAGGAGCTTGAACTCTTCACTGTTTTAAGCAATTTCATCTCATATTTTTCTATTACTTCTGAGTCTGTAAACTTTTCTAAGTAGGTTACATTTATGTGGGTATCATATAGTTCTAAGTCCAGTTACTTACAACAGTGGAGTCTGACTTTTCTGACTTTGATAATCTGTTAAGAAACGTTGAAATTGCTGAGTTTCTCTCAGTGTTAAACTTCTGACACAAGTATGTGGCAAATTTCCTTCCCCTTAGAGCTTTTAACGAAGAAATAACAGGATGTATTGTTGGCTCCAGAGCATCCATACCTCGTTTTTGCTCTGTGTGACAAATAATACCTGAGTAGGATTTTCCTTGGTTATGCCACTTAATGCTTTAAGAATGGGAGCTACAGAAAGAATCTGTGGTCTTGAAATTATGTTGCTGATGATGTTTAGGGATTAACTAACACAACAGACTTATTTTTCTTAAGGGTATCGGGAATACCAGTTGCTATTGCACTTCAGACACATCTGTTTGTTACTAGGTGGTTTTTCTTTTTGATACTTCCTCAGATCAGCACCAACTACAGAAGTATAGTAGGCATGAAAGCTATTCACTATGACCAAGAGGTAATTTGGTGGTTGTGTCTGTGATATGACAAGCCTGTTTACACTGGCAGACATAACCACATTGCTGAAAAATGTGTTTGTATTTTCACAATGTGTTTTTGTTGCCCAGTTAGAAAAATAGAGACTGTGGATGGGATAGAAGCTCTCAGGGCAAGTGTAAATTAAACAGTATCTTTTGGAGCTTGATATTACAGAGGATGAAACAGTCTTTGGTACAGGCATCAGTTGTGTTCATGTTATTTTAAGTAATCTGGCATTTCTCTTAGAAAACAATACTACTTGGTCATTATTTTGTTGTTTTTAATACAGTGGGTTCTCCGATTTTCTTTGTACTATAAAGTATTGTAGTGCTGCTAATGCTGCCCTGAATTGCATACGACCTGAAAAGAGCTTTATAAAGTATTTTAACCTGCTAGTGTTTGGAGTTTTGATCTCCTGTGCTGTGCTTGTGGGAAGCTGGTGGTGCTCTCTTTAGTGAACTGGTGTAAGAATTTCGTCTTATCACAAAACTGAAAATAGTTTAGTGTGCTAAATAGGTTGCCTGCTGTTTCTTATTACAGAATGGGAATATTGTTCAGTAAGCTACATCTGACTGCATAAAAAACCAGATAATTTGACTGCATAAAAAACCTTAGAAATACAAGGGGAAAATATTTATAATTAATAGAAATAATAGAGTTAAAAGGGTAATAAGTTCCTCCCGAAAGTTCCTTGCAGCGTGATTTCCAATTGTATGTAACTGTTGTTTACACAGATCCAGTCAAGCTGTCTCAGCTTTCGAGTAGGCTTGTAGTCTTTATGTTGACTCAGGTTTTTTCTTGACTTTTAAATAGCAGTAAAAGCAAAATGAGTTTAAAAAAATACACAAAAAATTAACTCTTGTCCAACTCTTGCACAGTTACAGGTGAACTTGTGCTAGTAGGAGAGGGGAAGGGAAAGGGCAGGTGGGATTGGAGCAGACAAGGACCGCATCCTCCCTTGGCAGAATCATCTTGGCCTGGGACAGGGCATGCCCTCTGCTTGGCAGTTGTGTCATTGATTGCAGGTGCCTGTATATTTTAGGATGTTTGTTGCTGTGGTGATTTGGAATAGTAGGGTTGGAAAAGAAGTAGTATTCTACTTGCTTCCACGTGGAAGAGCAGCACAGAATTAA